ACCTTCGCATTGTGTCATTATATGTGACCAAGTTTCCAAGAAAAATAATAAACTTGTAATACGGTAATTATTTTAAAAAAGTGTTCTCATAAATGAGCTATCATGCGTGAAGATTCATGGCTTTCAAGCCAAATGATCAATCTTATGGCCACATTCATGGCATAGTTTGTTCAAATGATCTCATATTGTGCACAAGGGTAAATCTTGGAATTCCAAACAATGTTGCCTAAGGAAGTTTTCATTTTCTTTGCACCGAAAATTCATTTTTCATTTTCCGAGTGCCCAAAAGGAGGTTTTTTTGTGAAGGAACTACCAAATAATTGTTGCAAAAATGTACCAAATCAATTTTATAAAATACTAGGCCATATATAATGCACAATTGACAAAATGGTTTGGTGAAAAAAGTTTTGATCCACCTCTGGTGAAAAAGACAAATTGCCGTTGATTCAATTGGAAATGGGTCAAATTTGAACTGCAAGTGCCTCATATTTTGCTCTTTATTTTTTCCAAAAATCATTTCTAGGTAAATAAGTATCTATTTAATCAGAGAAACACCAAAAAAAATCCAAGATTCAACCACTAGATAGGGACGGTCAAGCCCGCCGTTTTGACCGCATTTTGAAACGGGCATAAAAAATCAAAAAATTCAAAAAATTGGAAAACCTTCGCATTGTGTCATTATATGTGACCAAGTTTCCAGGAAAAATAATAAACTTGTAATACGGTAATTATTTTAAAAAAGTGTTCTCATAAATGAGCTATCATGCGTGAAGATTCATGGCTTTCAAGCCAAATGATCAATCTTATGGCCACATTCATGGCATAGTTTGTGAAAATGATCTCATATTGTTCACAAGGGTAAATCTTGGAATTCCAAACAATGTTGCCTAAGGAAGTTTTCATTTTCTTTGCACGGAAAATTCATTTTCCATTTTTCGAGTGCCCAAAAGGAGGTTTTTTTGTGAAGGAACTACCAAATAATTGTTGAAAAATTGGACCTAATCAATTTTATAAAATACTAGGCCATATATAATGCACAATTGAAAAAATGGTTGGGTGTCAAAATTTTTGATCCACCACTGGTGAAAAAGACAAATTCCCGTCGATTTAGCTGGAAGCGGGTCAAATTTGAACTGCAGCTGCCTCATAGTTTGCTCTTTATTTTTTCCAAAAATCATTTCTAGGTAAATAAGTATCTATTTAATCAGAAATACATGGTTTGATTGCGAGACATCGAGGTTTGGACGGTGGCCGAGGGCCCCAACTCTAGAGCGCGTAAGCTCGCATGCCCGCCGCGTGGTCACCGCGTGACCGTGGCGTTGCCATGTGTTCTGGGCGGCCTAGGCATGTCTAATGGGTTGGGCACTCCCCAGGTAGGTGCTAGGAAGAAAATCACACATAAGATTCTCATGAGGAGACCGATCGATGCTCAAACATGAATAAGCAGCCAAGTGTTTGATTTACGGTATGGGAAATGCACATGGCTAATGGGCGTGAGTTTTGGCTGAGGATGATCAGTTACTAAGAAGACCGTCTTCACAAATTTTCACCTCAAAAGGAGGAGCCTAGGTGGTACTTGCTTTACAAACCACCACACTGGACATAAATACGAATGTTGAAGCTCGGCTCAAAATAATGAATGGATTGAGCTGGCATTTGGTGGAGGATGGTTATTTGGGCATAGGAAAGTACTGTAGAAAATGGATGCTATTTGGACATGTCAAAGTGGTACTTCCTTCACAAACTGTTACTCTAAACAGAATAGGAAAATGAATATTTTTGAATTATTTTTGAACTAGGAAAGGAAGGTTTTTACATATTTGACGAAGATATGACCCAAAGAATTTATGAGATTTTTTTTGGAAATTTTGGGAATGACAGAAATATAGGTTGCTTCACAACCTAGGGCAAAAACTGCCACATGGACATGACACATAGGCAAAACTGATGAGGTGGCGCCTAGTCATAGCAACCCACCACAATTTACAAGGCTATGACCATCTATATTGGTCGTTAACAACTAGAAATAAGGCAGCGGACTAATGCTGTTAGCTTTATGACCATTTCATGTAAGGAAATTATGACCTTTCTGACCAAAATGGTCGCAATGGTTTAGGGTTTGGAGCCCCTCGAACAGCTTTTGACCAATTGGTCTCAAATGGTCATAAATCTATGACCAATTCTTCCAGGGTCATTGACAGAAGGTCATAAGTTGACATATTTCTTGTAGTGAGGCCAATCGAAATTTCCTACATATTCTAGCACAAGTCATGTCAAAATTCACGGTAAAATCCGGCATGACCTTTGTTAAAAGGACATATATCGAGCGCCTGAAATTTGCCAGAATAGAAATTAATCAACACTCCAGCAAAACATAGGCCACTTGTGCAAGCACTAGTACTACACAACACTACATATCACATGTCTAAATCTCCATCATATTTGAAAGACCTACATTGAAAATTTTCTATTCCATGAAAATTGTCATAGCTACTCGTGTAGCTACTACTCTACTACAACTATCAAAACATCTACATCATCATCGACATGGGGATTTGGCTGGTCTCACCTCGAGGTCGGAGGGGGTCGGTGACAGGAATGACGGCGGGGATGATACAGGGGCTCCTTGATTTCTGCAAAAACAAAATATAAACAAAAATATTATTATCCTCATCTTAGGACTTAGTGAAACCGTATGTCTAAAACAAAAACAAAATTTGTAAAACCAAGTTCTAACCCTAATAATTTGTACTGCCCATCTATCCATCCATTTGTCTAAACCTAGTTCTAACCCTAAAAATTTATAAAACCTTGTTCTAACCCTAAAAATTAAAAAGACATATACATTTACTAAAAATTTCCTAGTTCTAGCCCTAACATCTATCCATCCATCCATCTATATATATATATATATATATATAAACCATTGTTCTAACCATCTATCTGTCTATCTATCTACCCATTCATCTATCTATCCATCTATCTATGCAATGTAGGAGAGATCAGAGGGAGGGAGAGGGTCAGAGGGAGAGGGCTGGGAGGGAGAAGGGCGAGGGATGGAGGGAGGGAGCAGGGAGAGAGAAGTTTGAGGGATGGAGGGAGAGGCAGGGTCGGAGGTAGGGAGGGAGAAGAGAGGGATGGAAGGAGAAGGGAGGGAGGGAGACATACCGGGCGACGGCGGCGGCATCGGGGGTTGGACGATGAGAGTGTGGGAGGGAGAGTGATCGGGCCGGCGGGGGAGAGGATAAGGTAGCATTAGCAGTAGCACTGGCTCGTGGACCAGCGCTACTGCTAAGTTGGGCCCACCGTGCAGACTTAGCGGTAGCGGTTGGCTAGTGGCCTAGCGCTACTGTTATGTCTCCGGTCGTAGCGCTTGTTCCAGCCAACCGCTACTACTACGTGTAGCCCCTGCCGGTGGCCATGGGACCACTTAGCAGTAGCGCTACAAGGAGGCCCAGCGCTACTGCTATGTAGCGCTTATTGTCAACCAGGGCTACTATTAAATGGCAGTAGCATTGGACCCATAACCAGCGCTATTACTAAATTTCTATCTATAAGGTTTCTCCTAGTAGTGTATGTTTCAACAGTGCTCATGCTACACCAGATAGAGACGTGGCAGCAGCAAATGCAGAGTTGCAAACATTAATTTGGACCACGAAAGTTTGCATTTCCAAGTAATTAATTAGCAGGAAATGCTGGTCCGAGAAACTAGATTCATGGAAGAGCGAATGATGAAATCAAGTATTTGAGGTCTACTAGCTTGAATGGATGATGAAGTCAAGTAGTGCTCTTGCTTCCTTTATTTCTGTCATGTAGTAGTGTGGTTGAATCAAGTTTCTCGGGGCATCATTTGCTGCTCCATTTGCTTGGAAACACATGCTTTTGTCGTTCAAATCAAAATATCTGGCTCTGCATTTGCTGCTCCATCTGAAAACAGTAGAACTATAGATGAAATTTTGTTAGGAAACCGAATGCCATCTGCAGAACAGAGTCGTCTTACTGAAATCACATTGCCTTTGTAACCTTCACTGAATCCATGCTTGTTGCCCCATGCTGCCAACCTGTGTTGATCATACAGGAGTTTCATGTTCATGGCTGAAATTCCCACGTTTCATCCCACCAAGGAACATACTCCCAGAGCTGTCCATGGTTGCGGCCCCCTACTGTCCACCGGCAGTAGGGGAGTTCGCTCTAGTTAGAGTGCGTGTGGCTTTAGTTGTAGTTCCTAATTAAGACCTGATGGTTTCAGTAATTAAAATCTATGAGGGTGGCCTCTCTTTTGCTCATAAAGTAAACTACTTAGCATTTAAAAAAATGAGGAATTTATTATTAAATCTGATAAATTGTGACAAAAATACTTAAATCTTAGGTACTATTTCAACCACATTTTCATATGATAAATAGCACCAGTAATATACTTATATTGTGTCGAGAGGTTCAGATTGACACTTCGCAAGGTTTGACCGTTCATATTAATTACTCCCTCTGTAAACAAATGTAAGAGTGTTTAGATCACTATTTTAGTGATCTAAACGCTCTTATATTAGTTTACGGAGGGAGTACCAATTTATTTGATTTTGAGTTGGAGTTACCAGATATTAATCGTCCATTAAATGCTCAAACGTATACTGCGAATATAGGAGCCGTGTTTGGAATGCATAAATGCGAAATAATTTCCACAAGAGTTGGACGAGTTTGCTTTTAAGACATTGTAAGATCTTTTTTTTCAGATGAATCAGACATTTGGTTTGGGCCTTAGACCTTGGGCCTTCCATGGGCCAAAACTGTAGAGTGTGGTTGCTCCTCCGACCGAGCCCCGGGCTTCGCGGCGAAGGGGCCTCACTCGCTAGGGCTCCCATAGGTTACGTAGCGGCTGCGTCTCCTCCTCGGCTCGCTCGCTCTATAAAGAGCACCGCGTCCGCGGCGCCAGTCCACTTCCACCACCACCACCGTCCGGCGAGAGGAGAGCAGAGGAGGAGCGAGCAACCGGCGGCGAGGCGATGCAGATCTTCGTGAAGTCGCTGACCGGGGGGACCATGACGCTCGAGGTCGAGAGCTGCACGGCCGTCGACAGCGTCAAGGCCAAGATCCACGACAAGGAAGGTACGCGCCCTCCGCGGCTCCGCCTTCGCCCATGACGCCGGTCGCCTTCGCCGGCGTCGGTTGCGTTTCTGCTTTGTTCGATGATCTTGCCCCGGTTCAGAGCAGATCGTCCTCCGTGACGACCTTTTCTTGAGTTAGAAAATGTCATGGCTTTCTCCGCTAGCTTATCCGGGGGTTCCATAATGTTGGATTGCCTTGCAATTGACCTCGCGGTAGGGCAAATTAGGCCCCTTTTCTACGCCATCTGCCCGGATCTGAGCAGATCCTCTGTTTCTTGCTCGAGTTTACAGTTTGTGGTGCTAAACTGCGGACGCTGTCTCTTGGCTTCAATAATCGCAGGTATCCAGCCGGACCAGCAGCGCCTCATCTTCGCGGGGAAGCAGCTCGACGATGGCCGCACCCTGGCCGACTACAGCATCCACAAGGAGTCCACGCTTCACCTCGCGCTGCGCCTCGTCGGCGGTGGCAAGGGCGGGTACTACCCCACCAGGATGGAGCCTAACCTGCGCATGCTTGTGTGCCGCAAGTATGTTCTATATTCCTTGGACCATTTCTTTCACTATGCATGGATTTTGCCGCTGTTACATGCATGTCTTGATGACTATGAATGATACAAGCTTGTGAATTTAGATGTTTCTATTGTGGTCTGTTCAATGGGGATCACCGTATCTCTGTGTGGTCAGTTTGGATCCATGAGCTTGCTTATTGTCTTTTTTTTTTTTGAAAAGGAGGTTAAACTAGCTTATTGTCATACTTCTTATCAAGTACTGCTAGTTGAGGGTGTATAGATGGAGTATTTCTTTCACTACAGATCGATATATGCTTCTGTTGCATGCATGTTTGTATATATGTGGATGTGTCTATCCATGATATATAGAAGCTTGTGAATTGTGATGTTTCTCTTGTACTTTGTTTGATGGGGATGCATATGCATATGTAGATCATATCTCCATGTGGTTTGGATTCAGGGAACTACTAGCTCATTAGCATACTCTCATCAAGAACTTTGTGAAATGCGGTGTTTCGCATATGTAGATCATATATCTCTGTGTGGTTTGGACCCAGGGAACTAGCTTATTAATTAGCATACTTTTAAGCAAGTACTACTTGGACGATTTCTTTCACTATACATCAATATACTGTTGTTGTTTACATGCATGTTTGTATCTGGATGTCTATTAAAGCTTGTGAATTGGGATCATCATATCTCTGTGTGGTTAATTTGGATCCAGAAACTAGCTTATTGGCATACTTTTTTATCAAATAAGTACTAGTTGAGGTGTAGATGGTGTATTTCTTTCACTACACATCGATATATCCTGCTGTTGCGAATTGTGATGTTAGGCTGGATACAAGGTTATGATGTTAATTCTATGTGAATTGTGATGTTTCTGCTGTGGTATCTTTGATGGGGATCGATGCATATGTAGATCATATCTCTCTGCAGTTTAGATCCAGGGAACTGGCTTACTAGCATACTTTTCATCAAGTACTAGTTGAGGTGTAGATGGACTATTTCTTTCATGATTCATCAGTATGTAATTGTGTACATGTTTGATATTTGTATCTGGATGTCTATGCATGATAGAAGTTTGTGAAATGCCATGTTTCTTTTGTGAGCCGTTCAATGGGGATGCATGGATGCGTATGTAGATCATATTTATGTGTGGTTTGTGTTGAGTATTATGATTATTAGGAAAGATAGATAGCGTAGGATCTAGCTTTACTTTCATCAAGTATTAGTTGATGCCTACTCTATTAGCCTTATCACAATAAGTACTGGTCGTTCACAAGATTATATCCTAACTTGTACATGATTTTGCATTACAGGTGCTATGCACGCCTGCCCCTCAGGTCTGCCAACTGCCGCAAGAAGAAGTGCGGCCACAGCAATGACATCAGGCCCAAGGAGAAGCTGCGCCCCCACTAAAGCGTTGGAAACATAACTAAGTGACATACGATAGCTGGATTAACTGGGAATTCAAAGTTCGGTTCGAGTCTTAGTTTCAGTTAAATGTTGCTTCTGGAATCTAGAACCCTATGCTCCTGTATCAGTTTCTCTCGTAGTACTGTCCAATTTGCTCTTGCATGAATGATGAAATCAGGTATTTGAGGTCTACTAGCTTGAATGGGTATATGATGAAGTCAAGTAATGCTCTTGCTTCCTATATTTCTGTCATGTGCGTACTATGGTTGAATCAGGTTTCTCAGCCCAGTGTTTTCTGATAATTACATGGAAATGCAAGCTTTCGTCGTCCGAATCAAAATATGCAACTCTGCATTGAGCACTGTTGAAACATATATAGTACCCCATTTTGTTGGGAAACCAAATGCCATCTGCATGGAAAACAGAATTGAAGTTCTGAAATCACATTGCATTGTCACCTTCACTGAATCCATCTATACAGTAGTTTCATAGATGAAGTTTCCACCGTGACTCCGTCGTCCACCGGGTACATTTTGTCCCGGGGGAAGGGACCATACTCCGGTGCCGTTCATAGTTGCAGCCCCATTCTGTCCATGGAGCATGGAGGGAACTTGAGAATTAGGAAACTGTATAGTTACAGGACATACAAAGCATGGACACCTGAGCCTGAATGTAAATGTGGAAAGACTAGCTAGTTTGTGGCACCTTATTCAGAGGTCCATCGTTAGCATAAATAGGCTTATAACTCTGTCTCTAGAGTAACACTGCAAGGACCATGTCATGTTCAGTACTAGTATCTCAGGAATCCACATTATATAACAGCTTCTATTATATGGACTTTGAGTAGAGGTTGGAGAATCTGAGGGATCAGGGACCTGCATTTTAAGTTTCACAATCACAGGAGAACCACTGCGTCGGTAAGCCTTCCATCGCCAAAAGGATGCCAATATGAGAACGAAGTAGACCCTCACTTTAAGGAAACAGAAATAAGTCTTGCTTCGGTACACCCCACTTCAGAATTTTGAAATGGGTAAATTCATCAATAAGTCCTCATGGTGTTGAGAGAAAATCATCACAACTGTTATCGGTAAGTGGACATCGTTTTGTTTTTTTCCCATGTCAACCAATTAAATAGATTTTTCCTACTAAAATTTTCCATTCTTAAATTGGAGCTAGCAGGAAGACCAAACAAGATAAAATGCTCTTTGGTGGAGTTGGAACTCCTGGGTGGAACTACTCCAAAGTGGTTTTTCTGGAATAAAGCTGATTTTGATGGAGTGAAGCAGTCCCAAATAGGCTCTTAGTTATTGCCTAGTTCAACAAAATTGCAGAAAAATGCATTTATCTTAACGAGCCGCAATGAGTGCAACACGGGCAATTCTAGGCTATCGCTAAGTGATGCATAGCGCAAAAATAACTTTGTTGATTTTTTATATAAAATAAAACTTAGTTGATGTTCATTACGATGGGAAATGCCACACGCCCAAGCGTGCGTCATGTGGGTAGGCCCATTTTCTGGGTATCCAGGCTGTTTTTTACGGTTTGGTTTCTTTTTATTACTTTCCCGTTTCTCCTGTTTAGGTAAGGTTCTTATGTTTTGTGCTCGATTTTTTTATTTCAGGTGTTTTTATTGTTCTTCTCATTTTAATATCGTTTACGTTTTGTGCATATGGATATTCTTTAAATTATATGACGAACATTTAAAAAAATATGTGACCAAACCTTTTCAAATACACCGTGCACATATTTTAAATATATGAACACATGATGGATATTTTTCAAATACACAGTGACCATTCAAAATTCACAATGATCATTTTTTCAGACATTTTTTTGAGTAACAACATTTCCTTTTCAATTCTTAAATATGTTTTTACCAAAAAGAGAAGGAATAAAGAAATGTACTACTAGTTATTAATAAAAAAATGTACTATAAATATAAGACTAAATTTTGATAGGGGGGAAATATTAGATTGAATGGGTATACAATATGAGTTTCCATAAATGTTCAAAAGACTGTCATGCCCTTCTTAAGTCTTAACAAAGAAGCTCTAACTCACACTCTTTTTTTAGAAAAGGAGGATGACCCCCAGCCTCTGCATCTGGGCGATGCATACGGTCACTTTATTAATTATTCTCATAAGACCTTACAAAGTCATATAACAGTAAAACTAAAGCAGCCGTCTAAGCAACAAACTGTCACTACACCTATCCAGTTGATGAAGGGGCGCAGATAGCCTGCGCCTAATACCAAACAGACATCGCAGCCAAGCCTAACATCTAAGACCTGAGACCCCAACCTAGCCACTTACCGGGTCTGGGGCACACACTGGTTCGGCGTGCTCTCAGAGGCCGCCGCCGCCAACTGCCACCGGTCCATCTTCAGAACTGTACTAATGCATCAACCGAGCTAGCTATCGTCGACCCCACCACGGCGCCCAACGGCACCTCCTCCCTGCGCGCAAACAGCTAAGCACATCGTGGTCGCCACTGATACACCTTAGCGCCATGCTGCCGGGTACCACCAACCGACACAGCTTGAAGTCCTTGGAAGATCTGTCGTGCGTAGCACCTGCCGACCAGGCATGACAAAGCGTAGCACCTATCAGCCAGACATGACTTGACATCTCCATTGAAGTTCCGTGCAAGACGAAGCCGCTCCACCTCCTGCCTCTGACTTCAAG